GGCACAAACTGGAGCAGAGGAAGCTCCAGCTGAACCCGAGGAAGAACTTCTTCCCTCTGAGGGTGCCGGAGCCCTGGCCCAGGCTGCCCAGGGAGGCTGTGGAGTCTCCTTCTCTGGAGATATTCCAGCCCCGCCTGGACGCGGTGCTGTGCAGCCCGCTGTGGGTGACCCTGCTTGGGCAGGGGGTTGGGCTGGGTGACCCACAGAGGGCCCTGCCAACCCCTCCATGCTGGGATTCTGTGATTCTGTGCTGTCTGCTGTTCATGGGTAATGTTTTTAAATTCCTTCAACCCAAAGAATTCTACTCGATGGTAGCAGGCAGCATCTTTTTAAATGAAGTCGCTGTAGAGATTATTGCATAAATACATAATTACAGCTAGGTTTTAAGATAGTATCTGCGTCGCAGACTGCTGAATGCGCTCACTGAGCCTCTTTAAGCATTTCGGTTTGAAGCCTCCAGATATTAAAACTGGCAGTTAGGAAAGGCTCCTGTCTCTTTAGCAGCTGATGGGTGATTAGTTGGTAAGAGAAATAAATCTGTAAAATAGCTTCCCTGGGGGATCAGACTAAACACAGCAGAGCTATGTCAGCATGGGAGAGCCCCCCAGAAGGGAAGCAATAAATACGAGAGCGAACGTGGAGCCTTGTTGGTCTGGGGCCGTGCCGTCAGGAGGAGCAGGCTCCGGCCGTGCCTGCTGCTGGCTGGTGCTCTCCCCTTGCCCACTGCTCTTCGAGAGCCAACCTTCAGCTTGGTGCTCCACCGCTTCCCTCCATCACCTGCAGATGCAAAGAATAACGTTTGGACACGGTTATCGAGTGGCACAGCGGAAACGCTTCTCCGTCGTGGGTTTTTTGTAGAATCACAGAATCATTAAGGCTGGAAAAGACCTTCAAGATCATCGAGTCCAGCCATCCACCCAACACCCCCATGTCTGCTAAACCATGTCCCCAAGTGCCACATCCACGTGTTTTTTGAACCCCTCCAGGGATGGGGACTCCACCACTGCCCTGGGCAGCCTGGGCCAAGGCCTGACCACTCTCTCAGGAAAGAAATTTTCCCCAATATCCAATCTGAACGTCCCCTGACGCAGCTTGAGGCCATCGCCTCTCGTCCTGTCGCTGGTTACCTGGGAGAAGAGACCAACCCCCCCCTCAGCACACCCTCCTGTCAGGGAGCTGCAGAGAGCGAGAAGGTCCCCCCTCAGCCTCCTCCAGACTGAACAGCCCCAGCTCCCTCAGCTGCTCCTCAGCAGACTTGTTCTCCAGACCCTTCCCCAGCCTTGTTGCCCTTCTCTGGACACGCTCCAGCCCCTCAATGTCTTTCTTGTAGTGAGGGGCCCAAAACTTAACACAGCATTCGAGGTGTGGAGGTGAGGAGGTGTTGGCGAATGCTGCTGAGGGGCTGTGCCACAGGACCCCTTGAGGATGCAGTCAGGTAGTTGTAGAGAGCAATAAGGTCCCCCCTCTGCCTCCTCTTCTCCAGAATTAACAGCCCCAACTCCCTCAGTCAATCCTCGTAAGACTTGTTCTCTAGACCCCTCAGCTGCCTCATTGCTCTTCTCTGGACATGGTCCAGCAACTCAAAGTCTTTCTTGTAGTGCAGGGCCCAAAACTGACACACAGTACTCCAGGTGCGGCCTCACCAGTGACGAGTACAGGGGCACGATCACCTCCCTACTCCTGCTGGCCACACCATTCCTGATACAAGCCAGGATGCCATTTGCCTTCTTGGTCATCTAGGCACACTGCTGGCTCATGTTCAGTTGGCTGTCAACCAACACCCTAAGGTCCTTTCCCACCTGGAAGCTTTCCAGCCACTCCTCCCCAAGCTTGTAGCATGGGGTGTTGTGACCGAAGGGCAGGACCCAGCATTTGGCCTTGTTGAACCTCGTACAGTTGGCCTCGGCCCATGGATCCAGCCTGTCCGGACCCCTCTGCAGAGCCTTCCTGCCCTCCAGCAGATCAACACTCCCACCCAACTTGGTGTCATCTGCAGACTGACTGAGGGAGCACTCCATCCCCTCATCCAGCTTGTTGATAAAGATGTTCAACAAGACCAGCGACGACGAACTTTGTATTTCCCGAGCTGGTTTTGAGATAAGAAGGCAGTGCTGGTTCCAGGGCTGGGTTTGGCCCGTACACGTGAAAGAGCATGGAAAAAAAATGGGGTTGTAAAAGAGGAAAGGACTGTCTGCTGTCGGGCGGGCAGAGTTCTCCCCCGGGGCTGGGGGACCGCAGGGCAG